ATACTACACACACACACACACACACAATGTATGACTCGTACGAAGCTACGTAACGAAACTTGTCATAACTATTGTTCTAAAAATAATTAACTTTTAATACTCTTGTTATGAAAACTAAATCATTAAATATTAGATTACTAAATAAACTAAATAATGACTCTTAAACTGATCAGTCTTGAATATCCAACAGAAAGATTAGTGTTCATATCGTGTGCCAACAAGAATTTTGTGTTTGAGAGTGGCCTCAAGAAGTTATGTCATGTTATGGCAATCTGTTGGTTGACCAGGAGTTTCACTTTTGGCAGAATGTCTAAATTTTAAGTGCTATAGAAGAGTTGATGCCAATTCCACAATTATTCATTCTGGATGGAAATAGTAAAATAAAGTTGTCATTGCCCAGTTTCATATCATTACTTCCTACCAGTTATAATCCTGCCTCCATCTTTCAGGTGTTCAGTGAAGATTAAAAATAATTGCTTAAGAGTTTTTGTCAAATGTAAAATCCTGGGTCTAAGTTCAAATGATGCAGCAACTAATGCTTTGGTTAGAAAATATGTTATAATTCTATAATTTGTTGTAATTTGAAAGATTCTACAAAGAGCTATAACACTAACACAAAGTTTTGAATAGACGTTTTTCTTTAAGAAACTGCACATGGCCACATATTAGTTAAGATGTAAGTTCATACGTGTTTATGTAATTTATAGTATTAAAGTTAATTAATTCAATACGTATTTTAGTTATTTATGGTATTAGATAGATCTGATATATATAATTACATTACTAGGCCAAATGTGATGGGCATGGTACATGAAGCTTTACATGTGACAATTCTTCTTAATTTGCTAAGCAGGCCCAAACTTCTCAGGTTCTCTTGAAATGAGGGGAAGTTCCACCCCAAACATATTGACTCACACCAGCCTGTATTGAGTTTCATATCATTTAACTTCTGTAAAGAGCCAACTAATTTTGAGTGACTGATGGAACTTGCACTTTGTGGCTTTCAGTGGGAATAGTGTCTGACAAATGTTGACACTACTTTGGTATTCAGTTGTACACTTCAAGTAGCAGTTGAAAACCAGGACATGGTATTTTAATGCTCATGACAAGCAGATCTGAAACTCAGGTCAGGAAAATGTTCTCTCATGCAAATGTATGTATTTTCTCAAATTGTGTTATATTCAGGTAAAACTGAGCAATTGGATAATTCCACTTACCAACAAGAAATGTGTTCAAGATACAGGTTACAAAGGAATATGTTGATGAATATCATATGATTTGAAAATGACTGGATATACCAAAAGAATCTTTCTGATCAATAATGAAAAAAATGAAATTCTAATATGAAAATAATTATATATAATATCTTTCATAACAAAGTTTGGGAAAGTTCACAACCTAAGAAATGTTGAAATACTACATGAAGTTATAAGATTTTTTAAAGGTAGAAACTAAATACTAATTAGTGTTAGTAGAAGATTCATACAGTTTTGTATAGGGATATAAGTGATACCCATTCAGTCCACAAAGGGTTAAAGAGCCCAGATTTAGCTTGAACACTATTCATGATGCAGCTGAGTGAAGCATGTAGCCTATGGCAATCATTTGATCAATAAGAGCCACAGGAGGGAATGCTACATTAGTGAAACCCACACAAGTGTTGTGACTGAGCTGTAACTGCAACAAGTGGTCCCAAGATTTCTGAGAACCAAGATTATCTGAATGATATATGATACACAATTAAGAGAAAACTAGGGAGCATCTTGCACTACTGCCAACCTGGGAGAGAAAGCTTTACAGACTGCATGGTCACAAAAATATATAATAATGATATATACATTGTACTGGCGATATGTCTCGAAGAAAGAACAATTTCAATCAGGGTAAGCTCTACACAAAAGTTGCAGGTTCTATATTTCAAAGAACAGCCCTAGATTGCCAGACCTTTCCCTGAAATTGACTATAGAAACCGTAACATCTTGTTGGTAATTTATTCTTTACTCAAATGGACTTAAACACTGGAAGGTTTAGGCACATGCAATCCATGCAATAGCATGGGGTCCCTACTATCATAGCTCAGTTAAGTTGAATGTTTGAAGCAATCCAGAAACAAATTGAATTTGACCCTCACAGTACTACAAGCTGAACTGTTTGAAGAAGACAGACAATTGTTATGTAAAAACACCTAGTATGTTCCCCTCAAAATAAATAATTTTATTATAAGTCGTTTCCCAACTTACTGTTATATTCTAGACTACTTACAAATGAACAATAAAAAATTATAACTTTTATTAGAAGCTTTAATTCACATCAGAGTCCATAGCCTAAAATTGTTCCATATTTAGTCAGATTCCATATGATATTTTGTACAGCTTATTACTAATATACTTGGTTTAACATTTAAACTTCATCAAACAGGTTTAGATGACTAGCTTTCTTATACAGTGCTTTATCATTTCACGTAAAATTGATTAATGTACCTAACTTTTGATTTTTTTTTATATACTTTAGTTTTTGCTTACTTTCTGGGTGAAACATGTTATAGCTTCCACTTTGTTATATTGGTTTAAATGGAGACAGAAGTAACCTGGTCCATGCTCTTCCATATTGCCTGTTATTATGTCATGTCCTGGCTACAAAAAAAAATATATATTCTATAAAGCTAATTCAAACACTATCATTATAATTAATCATATAAAAAACAACAAAAACTACTTTTATACTTTATGTAAACTACAAGACTGGCTTTTCAACACTTAAGCGTTTTAACTTCAGAAAAATAAAAGATACTTATAGACTTTTTAATTAATTTAGTTCATTATCCTTTACCTGTAAAATCAATTTCATTAGTTTAAAAATGGTCATCTTTCAATCAAGATGCTGCTATGTGTATGTTAAGAGGTATTAATATGTTATACTTTCTTATTGTTACATGTTGATTTAGTTGTCCTAGTCCCTTAAATTTCATTAATGGGATATTTTTACAATATTCACAGACCAAAAGCTAAGTTCCATATATATATATATAAGAGAATAAAAAGGTTTTGTAGAAAAATTTTAAATTTAAATTAATTAATCTCTTCAATAACTTTGACTTTTGAAGTAAGTATTTCCTAATAACTTTGCAAACCAGATTCTGGCAATTATGAATTTTTATCAGTTTTTTTCCATGTCATTGATGCTGGAACAATTTCTGTTATGAGAATTCTGAAAAACCCTGAAAAAAAACTGAAACATGTGTATATGATAAAAACCATGTCAAGCCAGGTGGTGCTGCTGCAACCTAAGCACTCCTATTTCCTGTGTCATTGTATCATGTCAACTTCAAAGTGGAACACTGGGACTGACACAGCAGCAACTAAAAATTTTAAAATGGATCCTGGAACATCAACGTAGGGAATTTAAAGCAGTTTTAAAAAATTCCCCAATAACATATTAATATTTTCCTTTATACTGACGGATTATGGGGCCCACATTTGTTTCATCTTCTCACTTCCAAATCTGTGGACCAATATGCAAAAATCAGATGAAACTTTAAATCTGCAGAGATATTAAGAAATTTTATTGAACATCCCCTATGTTTGTTATTTGCAATAGTGTTAGCTTATTATGAAAATGTAAATTGAATAGACCTAGCTAAATCAAACATTTTTATGGCTAAAATACATTCAAGTTAACATATAAAGTATTTTGACAGTAAATTCAAAACGAAAACAGAAATGAAATTTATTCATATGTTACAAATAACTCTGCACAATTCTGTAATAAATAACAAATTAATATACAGAAATTTGGTTTACAAGTTATCAAAAATGTTTTCTATATGTTTGATGTTTAACACTGTAAAAACAAACTTGTCATTATAAACTATAAAAGTTATTTATTGCCTGTTATACTTAGCTTACCCTCTCTCAGCCAGTTGCACACAAACCCCTACCGTCACAAACAACTTTAGAATAACTGACATCACCTGCATAAATCCTCACTCTTTTTATATTTTATATCTGCAACCACAGTCAAACAGTTTCCATTCTCATCTTGCATTTAATTCCCTTATTCTGTTTTTTTAGCTTAGTTCACTCTTGCTGTCTTTTGGCACATGCATACATAGATCAAATTCCAAATAGAAAATTGGATCTCTACAACAATGGTCTTATCTGTTTATCAAATTTTACTCTAAATATACATATAAAAAATCTAGTGCCATGATCAAGGCAAATGTGTAAATAGCAGAGATCATCATTATAATTATAGGGTTCTTTGTTCTTGTTTTTAATTTTTTGTTGATCTACCTGACTTTGAACAGATTTTGAGTTGATTTGCATTTTTAATTCAACTTAAAAGAAAGCTCTTAATTCACTGTAGTTAAATCCAATTGTTTTGATTTGATTGCTTGAGTGATCCTTCTTTGATGACACAGAAAAAAAGGCATCTAATTCAGGTGTTAACAAGGTAATTGTACCTATTTTTAAATAAAGACCCCACTTTATTATATTTGTTTTATTTATTTATTTATTTTGTATCAGTTTAACGCTTGAGAATCTCCATATATAATCTATACATTTTATCAAACAGGCACTATACAAACAGTAAAATTATTCTTGCCGAAGCTACACAGCAAAAATACTTCCAACTCCTATCACTATTAATAAACATTACTACATCAGATAAGGAATGTAGATGACTTAATTACTATTCATTACACTTTTAAAGGTAGGTAAACCTGCAAGACATAAATGTCAAAAATGAAGAATCCATCAGCGTGTGGCTATTTTTCAGGTTCCAGGAAAAGACTACTGAAACATGTCAAATATTAACAAATATCAGTATTTGAGAAATTTGTATTTCCTCCTGCTCCTCAGTAACGTGTGTTTTAGAGAAAATAAGTCCAACATGTTAAAAACAATTTTATAGGAGTCTGAAGATTTCCAAGAAATCCATTGCCTGTGAATGTGAGCTGCCTCTACCTATGACTATGTCCTTGTACAAGTCCTATTAGTTCACAGCCAAATACCTAGTAAGAAACATGAAAAGTGTATGATATATGGCTGCACTAAAAACAAGCTTTTTTGAAACTTCTATTAAATCTATAAAAGTGCAGCTTCCCAGTGGCACAGCAATACGTCTGTGAACTTACAATGCTAGAAACCAGATTTTGATAGCCGTGGTGGGCAAAGCACAGGTAGCCCATTGTCTACCTTTGTGCTTAACTCAAACAAACAAAATAAAAGTGCAACTAATTAGTTAGATTCCAAGAAGAATCCATATAAAATGGAAACAACAAAGAAATGGCTACATAAACTAGGAGTGGAACACAATATGAACTTTATTTCCTTTTTGTAACAAGAGTATTACATGTGAGGAGCACTGAACCCCTTTAATGTATCAAGGTGGATTTACTTACTAAGTTTATATGTGCAAAACCTTGTAATATTGAAACTGTTTGACATGCATGTATACAACTGCTCTATAACACTACTTCTCATTGCTTCTAAACTCATATGTGGAGTACTGGATGAGTATGATATCAAAGTTGGTACACAACAAGCTAAAGTAGAACATAATGTGTGGTGCACTAATGAAACACACATCAGTAAGCAGACATAGTACTCTTACATACAGTAAACATTATATCAGAAAGGACTTCCTCTTCAGTATAACTTCTTCTTTGTCACTTCTACTAAATTGATAAAAGTGCGGCTAACAAGTTTTCTCACTAATCTAGTTTTGTTTTTTGTAAATTCATAACTTTCTCTCTCACTGTAAAACATACTAGCTTCAAAAATTCATATATAAGAAACCTAGGTTCTAATATCAGTTATCAAAAATGGAATCAAACCAACCATTCAAGTAACAGTTCCCATAAGTACACCCTCTCAGTTTTTCATACAGAAGAACCATAGATCTGATTATGGTATTTAGAAGTAAAACAGAATTTCATCTAATCACCAGTACACTATACAGATTGTCCCATTTTAAAAACTTTTAACCATTTTACTTAATGCAAAAACTAAATAAAATTAATCAGTTAATCTGCTGAATAATAATAAATAATCAATTGTGATGGTATATCATCCAAACATCTAAAGTATTTTAGGTTATTAGAGGTGAGTATAGAACTAAACAAATAATTTTGAACCACGATAATCCTTTTTTTAGCTTCTAAGCTTTATTAACAAACTTCAATGGTGAAAGTAAAACACTTAACAAAATTTACCTAGTTAGTTCAGTGTTACCTTTTGTATAATATTGAAGCTTCCTTTTACAAAAAACACTCTAATAAATAAATATAATAAATTCTGTAACAGGTTATTAAAAACTTGTAATTAAATACCAAAAAATTATATAAAAACAAAGAGTTATACAATTACTGTGTGCATGCTTTCTTCATAGGGTAAGTGTTGTCGCCCTGGTCGGTCAACTTGTAAATACTTCCAGCCTCCTGTAATATAAAAACAAGAAACAGCTCATGTAAAAGAGATTTTAAAATGCCATTCATACAAAGAGTCTTCTTTAAAGGGTGAATTAGATAATAATATTGTTTTGATAAGATATTATTATCACACATTCTAAATTTTATTTATTGTATGTTCTTTCTTCACATCTGTTGATATGTCCACAAGACGGGAGCCTTGGAGTTTCTGGATATATGTGGATATGTTGACCTGGATTTGGTGACTATGGAGTGTTTACTTTTTCTTATATTTCATGGGTGCAATGAAAGAGTTTTATCCACCATTACAAATGTAGTATATTAGTATGTATATAAACAATTATTCTCAAGCATTGACAACTTCTTTGTGAATCCTGGACACTAAGATTGTTATGAATATCACAGGCATCTAGTGAATCAGCTTGAATAGAGGAGCCACTACATTTGTTTGTTAGGTAGAAAAATTAAATTACCTAAACTGTGAGTAAAAGTTCAGTAGCACTTTACTGACTGTTTAACCTCAGCTTTTTTTGGAAGAATCAGAAGTGTCTCTTTCATCCATAATAATCTCATTCTTAACTGCATTGATTTCTTTCAACATTTTGGGAGATGGAGCTACATCACATTCACTTACTGCTTGCTGAATAGTGCTTGAGCAGTTCTTAAACCTACGATTTTAGTGTCCTTTTAAATTATCCGCCAGTCTTTTTAAAGTCGAACTGACATAGGTGCTGTCACACAACAAGTGACAGAAATCATAAATTATATAAAACTGTTGCAAAAACTGGAATGTATCTTTAAAATTGAAGAACATTTTAAATTGTACAACAGAAGTTTAAAGACACATCAAAAATGAATTTGTGGATAGAATGTTGATTATTTATGGCATTGAATTTCTCCTTTAAGATGCATAAGTGTAAGCCTGTATACGGTAGAGATCATTACTTGTAGCTTTGAAAGGTCAAGTTCAGTGAGCTGAACATAGGTAGTTATTGAATGGTTTTATTGATGGTAGGAACTATATAGTTGCTTGAGAACGAACTAAGTTTTAAAACAGATTTTCATCTGAGTAACTCTTATTGTAAAAGTTCACCCTGGTGATTTTGTCTGCAAGGAACATAAGACATTTCACAAGTTTTTCTTTAAAATGAAGTGAACAAAACTGTCAAAGTCAATGTATAGTTCAGTGTAGATGGATTTCTGATAACAACCAACATCAAATGTTCTTGTTTGTTGAACATTTGTTAAGAAAGGACAGAGAAGAACATTGTTGTCATTCACAAAACACATATTAGCAGCATCACCCTCTCAGGGTTACACTCCTATAATTATTTACACAAACGTTTTAACATCAGTAGAGAAAAGACATCCCTTGACTTGCTTAAAACTAACAGTAATATTGTCATTACTACACCAGACAAAGGAAATGGCATGGTTATTTTGAATAAAGAAGGCTACATTAACAAAGGAACACCACCAAGTTTTCTAAACTATCAAAAGACCCTACAATTTTAAGAAAACAACTGATTAAATTCTTCCTAAACTTGAACAAAACTAATGCCCTGGTTGATAGTACTTATAATGACATTAGGCCATTTGGTTTGAACACACACACATTTTAATGGCTGTTAAGATTCACAAATCTGATTGTCCCATTAGACCTATTGTTTCTGAAATTGGTTGTTTTAATTACAAACTGTCTAAATTCTTATGTTCATCTTTAACTGAACTTAATTTTAACAGCTATAAAGTGAAAGACAGCTTTGATTTTTTTAGAATGTTAGAACAATGAGGTTTGATGGAGATGTTTATTTAGCCAGTCTATGTAATGGACTATACATCCATTTTGACAGTTTTGTTCCACTTCATTTCAAAGAAAACTTTGTGAAATGTCTTACATCCCACACACACAGAATCACCAGTTCCTGTGGACTTTTACAGTAAGGGATACTCAGACTGAAATCAATTTTAAAACTGATCTCCTTCTTGAACATTTTTTAGTTTCAACCAACAGTTAAATCATCCACTAACTACCTCTATCCAGGTATAACATCTCAAAACTATGAGTACCAGTCAGTCATATACAGGCTCACACTAACTAATCTTGAAGAAGAAATTAAACACAATAATCATTGGTTTATCTACAAGTTTACCTTCAATTTGCATTTAGATGTCCATCAAGTTTAAAGATCAAATTCAGTTCTCTTGACAGTCATGTGTCAGTTTTGAATGCTGCTATCCAATGTATATGAGAACCTACATTGGTTGACTGTTAGAAAACTGGGAGATTATATAAAAAAAGTACTCTAATCCTAGATGCAAGAGCAACAACAACAAAAAACCTCAAGCATTGTTTGACATGCACTAAGTGAATGTGGTGTGGTTCTATCTCCAAAAATGTTCAAAGGAATTGGTATAGCTGAAAATGAGACAATGGTGAAAGAAGTGCTTTTGATTCTTCAAAAGAAGCTGAGATTAAATATTCAGCAAAATGTTACTGAACTTTTATTCACAGTTTATGTAATTGAATTTTATCTAAACTTACATGCTCTATTGGTTAGTAAAATGCTTTCTTTCTTCATTGCATTACACTACAATAGTCCCCTTATCTTCTTAAGTAGGTCTTTAGAAAGGAGAACAGAGGTAATCATTACCAGAACAGAGCAACCTCTATGGCACCACATTTAAGCATGATGGATGTAAAATTTGTTGCAATAATTCTTACAGGATATTTTTTGGGTAAGTGTGTGATATGCAGGCATGGTAAATATTTTATACCTGCTTTAGTAATACAGAAAGTATTAAAAAATTTATTTAATTAATTTCCATGCTGTAATGGTGGAAACAAGTAGTCTAGGAAATCATTAAGATTACTTTGTTTTTATAGTAATTAATGTCTACTCTGCTCAATAGAATATTTTAGTAACATATGACATTTATGTTAAAAGGATTAGCACTGTAATATCCTTTGCTGGTAGAATATGATGTTAAGTAAATGTAACAGCCAAACCACTGCTATGAGAAAATAAATATCACAAAATGACTGGACAAAGAAAGCAAGTTTACCTTTTGAATTCCAGCAAGTTTTCTTAGTTAAGTTCTACTATGAGAATATAGAATAAACACTTACTTTTAAGATCATTGTGTTTAGTTTGACAGATGTCTATTTCAAGAAAGAGGAAGCTATGGGACTAAGCATAGCCTAGTAAAGGCAACTGTCTTTTTGTGTGTGCAAGTATGTGTGCTGTATTTTCTTTTTATTTGTTCAGCAACATTTTTACCAACCTTATCCAGTCTCATTACTCGACACACATTATGAAGACTCAGTTAAGTTACCTAATCAGAACCACTCTTTATTTCCTGAACAAATCTGTTGTTATTTGCAAAACTATCTCTCTGATACTTTTCTGAAAATCAACAGTTTTTACCTGAAAATAACTGAGATAGAGGACAAGCAGATTAACCATTTTTCTTGCATCCATCAATAAGAATATGTTTCAATGTTGCTGATATACTCAAATTACAACATTACAGCACAAGAGTATAGTTTATGGGGAATTGGATATTTTAGAAATATCTCTATCACAATAGCACACAAATAGAATGGTTACTTAGTAAATGTGACTACTCAGAACACAGCTACAAAGTGCACTTGCACTTACCACACAAAGAGTGGAAACTGAAATGATTTTGTTGTAAATTTTAATTGAAAATATGTTAATTAGGTAGATTCCACCGCAAATTAATGTTAATAAGTGAATATCTCGATAAGCAAGACACCTCAGTACAAAGATGAAATATATCTAGACTGTGAACTCTTTTATTATTGAGGACCAAAGATCATAAAAAGTTTTTTAAACTTAAAAGCTTAATTCTTTCTTTAAAATAAATTTAATGAAATGAGTGTATACACGTAAGCCTGTCTTTTTAATATATCTGGGTGCATAAAAGTAAATGTTATAGAAAATAAAACCAGTAACATCCAAGAAAGGAAAATATATGAAAGAATGCATAACTAACCAGGAAGATTGGTGTACACTACAGTTGGTTTGGTGAAAGTAAGCAGTGCATCAGGTTCAGGTGAGTGGTCATTGTTGTGCTGGATGGGATTCAAAATTAACAAAATCTTCTCAGCTAACTAGAGAAAATCAACCATAAAGATTTACTTCAAACTGAGGTTACTTGGAAGGCTAATGCACTCAAGCAATAAAATCTCTCCTACCAAAAAAACATTTTGGCATTAAAGATCAAAATAAAAGTTACTTGCATAAAAACACTGAAAAACCTCATTAGTAAATTCAAATTTTATATGAATAATTTTTGTAGCATTGATCAAAAATGTTACAAAAAATCTATGTTTCAAACAGTTATGATATTAAACTATTTTAGAGACATAAACAAATTTTGTAATGAATTATTCACAACTTTTCTGTGTTGTAAAAAGCACTACAAGACTTAAATCTATTAGTTAAGAATCAATCTGATAGATAATGATATTAAAGCAGTGTTTGGCTTCTACCATTCACTTATCACTTTGTTTATGTGATTAATTTTGTTTAGCTGATGCCACATTTTACACTATATAAATCATATGCAAGATATCAGAAAACAAGAAAGCAAATGAATGACAAAAACAATGTACTCAGCAAACCACCACTACAAAGTAAGCAGCTCTAAAGGATAAATTAATTTTGTCATACAACCAGTCTACATCCAGCCTTCTCAATCTTGTAAGAATAATCTAGTCACTTATTAACAATTCTATTGTTGTTGAAATCAAACAACTTATGCCATCTACAGGTCAATTATCCACTCTTTTCATCATTTTCAACATCCCTTCATTCTTCTATGCTCCAAAGAAGACAACATAATAGCTTCATAAATCATGTCCTGAATATAATGATGTTTTTGTCCTTAAGTCCTTGTATCTGTCTAATAGTTCCTTAGGCTTGCCACAACAAGTCATTATCTTCCTCATACACGACAGAGAGAGGATCTTTTTCAGATACTATCACTAAACTGCTACTCTTATCAATAACATCTTTAATCTTTGCACCAGATAAAAAAGTGTTAGGTTTGATTTTCTTCTGATCACTTTCAAAACACGCTTATCTATTTACATAACCAGCAAGATGCCATTACAAAACCCATGTATCCCATAATTACATCACAATTACTAGCACTGCAAATCTGTTTGGTTCAATCATCCATAAAAAATATACACATAATGCCTTCAATGCTGTATAATAATAATAATGTTTCCATAACCATCATCTCATTATTTTCTACTAAAGACCTACTCCTGAAAATATTCAGCATATTTTAAAAGACTTTCACTACTTTAAACTACTCTACCCTTTTTACAATGACTCCCAAGTATTTCTAAACATCCTATTCTTTACATGGTAGCAAGTTTTACATATGAAAAAAAAACCATCTGGGCCTTACCAAAAACATATATACTCTAACTTGCTGTGTTCAAACAGTACCCACCTTTAACATCTTTTATATAAAAAACAACAAGAAAAATTTATCACATTTAACTGGTTCCTTAAAGTTATCTTTGATCAAGCTCAGAAGTTACAAGTAAAAATTAAACACCTACTGATCAAGTGAAAAGTAATCATACTATAATAACAACATTAACTAGCATTTAAACCTAAGATAATGTGTGTATATATATATATATATAAATATTTACATATATTGATAGAAAAAGCAGAAACCACCTTTCCAGTTCTGGCTGCAGCCAACAAAAGATGGTAAAGATGTGGGATGTTATGGGCTTCAGCACCCACATCTGTTCCTTTTTTCACTTATTTTTATTTAAAAATGTGAAATTGATCATAAAGCCCAAATTGCATTGGGAGTATCCTATTTATCTGGTAAACCAGATAGAAAGTGTACCCTCAATGCAATTTGGGTTTTACTTCCACCTTTACCTCAAAAAACCAGGGTCATATTACATTATGACCCATCTTATGGTTTGTGCCCCAGTGTTGGATGTTGGTTTTGTGGCTGTTTTTCTTGTTTGATTCTTTTCTCCTAGAAAATTATAATTATCTATATGTGTGTGTATATATATATATATATACACACACACACACACAGAAGTACATCATCATTTCAACATTATATCAAGATAGATCAAATCTAAAATTTAGGATAATTAATATAAATTAAGCATTAGAGTCAGATGAATAGTATACTAATGGATTCTTTATTCATGAAGAACAACTGCATGTTGTTTTCAAATTTCACTTGTTTTATTTCTATTATATTTGATTTTAACCATGTTATGTGCATAATGTTTTATCTTTTTAAACTAATTGTTTAATTTTTTTTCTCCTTTGTATTCAGAAATTTGTTAAATTACAATTTTGCTTATCTATATATGTGGTATGCATGCATACCATCTATAGTAATATAATTTTTTTTTAATTATTGAATATTCAAGTTCCATACTGTCATAGTGACAACATTTGGTCCATGATGTCTAACATTACCTTATTCTTGTCAGCCTAACACTCGGTTCTTTAGCAGACGATGTTTTCAGCCAGTAGGGATATTTCAGTATATTTTGAGCCTAGGTTAAGGCTAGATAGAACTGTAATATCCTTTGCTGGCCAGACTTCAACATCAATTAGATTGGATAGTTGACCAATGCTATCAGAGAACAGAGTTTATGAGTTGATGCTTTCCACTGGTCAAAGAAAGCAAGTTGAGCCTGGGTTAAAACTAGTTAGAGCTGTAATATCCTTTGCTGGCCAGACTTCAACATCAATTAGATTGGATAGTTGACCAATGCTATTAGAGAACAGAGTTTATGAGTTGATGCTTTCCACTGGTCAAAGAAAGCAAGTTGATGTTTGGAATCCCGGCACTTTCTTTGTATCAGTTTGCTCCTAGTTTTTGCAGAGAGAAGACCTTTTAGAGTTTGTTTAGCAGTTAGTGTTGAAGTAATCTATCTTGCGAGAAGGAAGAATATTTCAAGGCTACTTTAGTCTTGAAGTAGACTAAATATTTCATAACTTGGAGTGAGGACTGTTTTGTTGTGGGTATGTGTTTTGAGTTTTCTCTTTGAGAATAAAGATTTTTGTTTTTTTAACAAAACGTTTGTCTAGCCTGTTCATTTTCATATGAAACAAAGATTCAGTTCAAATACCTTTTATCACAAGAAGTCTTGTAATTTGTTCTGGTGGAATTCTACTATTATTATGGATAATTCTATTTAATACTTGTTGGGAAACTGTTTTTTTTTTTAATTGAAAACACCACATATGGATGTTGTTTCATGCATATATAAATAATTTTTAGTTTTCTCTGATGCAAGAATATACTTAAGTATTTAAACATTGAAAATACATCGTTTGTACAGTATTTGGAATATTTTAATACACAACAATTTCATTTTAATTATACATCTACCAAAATATTACTTCAACACTGGTACTTAAGTATGACGACACTTTTTCATACCTTTTCACCAACTTCCTTGGAATTGAATGACTGATGAGTTATACCATCCATACAGTATTTTCTAGAGAATTTTGTAAGTGAACCAGCTGCAAATATGTAAGGGTCATTGGTCTGAAAACTGGAATCAACCACCAGACGTCCATCATAAACCAAATTAGCATCATTGATAGCTGCATAAAAATGAATATTACTCAGTACACTAGATTTATTTACATGCCATACAGATTTTTCAAGATTAAGAAATAAGTACATGGAATAACAATGCTTATATAAGATAGGTTGTCATTATAAATGAGAGGGAGAAATAGAGAGAGAGAACAGAAGTTTTACTATTTTCAATGCTTGTAATATCTATATTTAATATACCACTCAAGGCACAATATGTCTGTTTGCTAATACAGTTAGATGATGTACATTGAACCTTTTGCCCAATTATCCCCATGTGCCTGCATGATATGAATCGGGACTAACAACACTTATGCACAAAGAATAAGTTCAATATTTATTGTTTGAGATAACGTTTAACAATATGCAATATAGCTCACTTATGACTTGCAGTCTCAAAAACATGTATAATAAACAAATCATTTCACTCAACAACTTTCTAATCTTTGAAATTTAATATTCGAACAGTCTTTTCAAATATGTTTCAATATGTGGGGAAAAAAATAAATAATTTCCATGTGTAAATAATTATTACATTTTAATTTTGATTTAAACACTATTAAATAATGAATTAATATTCATGTACCTTTAAAAGTTGTAGAGCTGACATCTTTCTTGTCATACAAAAATAGAACCTATATTTAGAAATATGACAGCTGTTCAGATTTTCAAAATGCAATTAAAATATACATTAATCAATCTTGCACTTTTATGCCATTTGTTCTTAATATTTACATAATATTTATAATATACAATTAAGATTCACCAAGGGCTTTTAGAATCTAGTTGAAATCCCTATTACACTGGCAATTAATATTTATATAAAACATCAATTGTCTAATTGAAATTAACTATAATTCTAGCACAGGACAGACCGACTATTTGTGAATCAAGCTCTAATTAAGTTAATCTCTAAAATAACCTTTACACAATCAGAGATGATGTTAAACAACTTTTCTTGTTGTAGATAATACAAGTATTTACTATATTCTCAGATCTTAATGATACATTTTTTGAATTTAGTAGAACTTTCAATAAGGAAATATGTAACAATTATTTTTCAACACTGGTTTTGAAATGTTCTGAAAGACAACCAAAATATTACTAGCTTTTGTGCAACTATTAAAAACGAAATAGCCTTCCAGTGGCTCAGCAGTAAATCTGCAAGACTACAATGCCAAAAAAACTGGTTTTTGAAATCTGTAGTTGGCAGAGAACAGATAGCCGCATCATATAGCTTTGTGTTTTCCAACAACCAAAACAAATCAAAACCAAAGTTAAAAACGAAATTAAAAAAGTTAAATATATCCAGTTTTTATTATATTTTATGGGTTTAACATTATTAATTTTGCTTAATTGTGCATTAAATATGCATATTAGTGGTATAGCAAGTCTAACAATGTTATTATGTAGTCAACCAACTGGCTTATATGATATATAGATATAGTACAATAACTTTTCTAATTACTTAAATTTATTCTTTAAAATAATATTTAAAACTTAAGCATCAATATTTTGTGCAGAAGGTTGTTTAGAATCTATGTTTGTAATATGCATATCTAATCATCTTGACTCTGGCCATTAATGTTGCCTGTGACTACACAGATTACACACCCTGACCTTCTTGTTGCAAATCATGTAACTGATTTGCAAGTGCAGATGAAGTTTAAGATTGACCTTTTTCAGGAGGATTACATTACAGGACATTCCAACAAAAAATTCTCCAATTCCACACTTCCAGAAGCATGCAAGTCACAAAATTTCTGTATTTTAAAAAATGAGGTATCTGACTTATTGAACAGTATTGGTAAACTGTGGGAACATGATTCCAGCAATTAAAAAATAGGCTACTCTATTACAGCTAACACTGAAGGCAGTGAAGAAAGGCAAACAATCACCAGAAGTATATATCTAAAAACAAAACAGTCCATTGCAGCTAACATAGGAACCTCTCTTGAATAAACAATATAATTGATACCAATTTAATTATACAAAGCAGCACAAGAACTATGTTCACAACCTTCTCTCAAAGCACATAGCTGAACAGAATACCAAGTGTTGAAAACTGTAGGAATATGACAAATGGAAGCATGTTGCCAAATTGGATGAAGCATATGTCTAATTAAATGTCTGTAAAATTCAGGCAATTTATCATTATTATCCTGCTAGTGATACAAGATTTCAAAAATGGTAAAGAGCATATTGAAAAAGTTTACAGAGATTTTAAGTTAGGTAAGTTAAAGATTTGAAGTGTAAAAAAAGATTGTAGATATGAATTCTCCATATTATCAGGCTAACCTGCTGACACCACTATACTGTAAGAAAATACTCTTATATAGCCCTATCAAAACAGAGCATCCAGCCATATAAAAACACCCTAGTTCCTGCCACAAAATACAAGTCCATAACCAGCTAGGATAAACACATATCAATGGCTAAGTGGTCATAAGGCCTAGGCACTTATCCTTATATTATTACCATAAGACTGTCAATAAAAATAATTAGAAAGAAAGTTATACCACAACTTAAAATGAATTTTTTTAATAATGTGAAGAAATGTTTGTAGAATCTACTTAATATTGCTTTATTACATATATTTACCAGCATTCAGTGACAATTCTTGTAGTAACCGCAGGTTTATGATGTTAAAAACAAGGTTTGAATACAAACAGTGGGCAAAGCACAGACAGCCTATTCTGTAGCTTTGTGCTTAAAAACAACCAAATCAAAACTACTACTAACATTTTCTGAAACTTGACAAAAGATATATCTTATATTCACATACTTTAATGAAAAACTGTGTCAGCAACAGGCACTGTATAAATTCTAAGAAGCTTAACCAGATATAGTCTACTAGGCTAATTCAGCAAACTGAGAAACTAAAATTCATTTATACCACATAGTTACAATTTCTATGCCAAAAATGGAAAATGATAACAATATAATGAATGCAGATTGACTTTTTTTGTATGTTTAGTATTTTTATCAAACAACTTGAACCAATTCTCTCTTACACCTGCATTCTTAGACCTACTTCGTAACACACACTGCTTCTGGTTGAGAACACAGTTGTAAAGAAAACTGCAAGACGAGAGTGAAATGTGACATATTGGAAACCAAACTTATCAGAAAAACATCTTTTTAACATCAAACACATTGTAATATTATTCACTTTGTTTATTCATTCAAAGATAATGGTTTCTGATTATTGTTGTATAAGAAATGTTTTAAAGTATAGTAAATTAAATTAGAAGTCTATGACTCAAAAAGAGTCATAGCCCAAAAAGAGAATCCCCTTCTTGTCAAAGAGGGGAAAAAAACATCAGAAATCACAAAAGAAAAAAAAATGTTTAACAAATACAACATGATATAGTCCAAACAAAATGTGAGATGGTGTAAGTGGTATGAGTTGAGCAATATCTCCCTTGTACTTGGAATAGTTACTGACATACGTAATCTACGGGTTATGGAACACTAAACTATAAGCTTTTGTATGACTTTACATTTTTCATAATATACTCACTTGTCTGTAAATGAAAATTAGGTGCACCTATAGAAACAAAAAACTTTAAATTTGAAAGCTAAGTATATTTGATTTGACAGCTGAATCTCTAGCAAGTGAACAATATCACAGACTGGTGTCAATGAAAGACCTACCTCTTAATATTAGATCTACATGTAAATCTACTAGTCCCTGTCATTAGATATTCCCAACTTGTAACCATATAACAGAACAAAAAGCAAATCTAAGTGTTATTTTTCCTGGGCTTTAAACTACATGTGATCATAATATCTGAAGATGTTTTTAGAGTATTATATTCAAAGTAAAATAATTTTCTACTATAACCAACTTCAAGAGGAAACTAGAATAATACTTATGTTTATTGTGTAGTTGACTGCAGCTCTCAAATCCTACATTCATATGGATCAGAATCACGAAGATTAAACGAAGTTTTTTCCTACTTTCTGGTAACGTATGGCTTATAGAAAAAGTTAAAAAAACTTATAAATAAATGACTATAGGAATTCAGATTTTATTTGTGACTAAATAAGTAAAATCTTTGGTTTTGTACCATACAGTTTTTTGTTGGTGTTGGGCATAAAAAGGAAATACCACATTTCCAAATACTAACTTTATCCAGATAAAATAAAATATACTTTTGAAGTACTATTAGAAAAGTATTTAAATAACAGCTTAATAACACTTCAACTGTTAACTAAACCATTTCTGAACAAAATGTGAACAATTCACTTTTCAAATACACTGATATCCAACAAGGAGCTGAAAGCTTCTGCAAAATGCAGTTTCAGGAAATGTCACATGAAGAACAAATTGCATGCAGACGTTATTGAAAAAAATAAGCAAACACACTTGAACCAATTAATTTTTTTTTGTACAGTAATGATTATGTTTAACATCAAATTGGCCAGTTTCTTACTTCCTGTTGTGACTTCTCACTTGCTGTTGGGTGGGAGAGGTTTTCTAAATACACCTGCATAGGAAAGTCATACCACATTTTCAAATCACACGAAGGGTCCTATTGTAGCATCCCATAATCCATAGCTTACATAAAATGGAGAAAAACTCCATTTTATACTAATTTGAACAGATATCTTTGTCATCCTTTCAAATGGGCTTGTACCACCCCAGGGAATGAACACAGATAGAGCCAAACTGTTTCAAGTTCCTACAAGATGGCCACTGCCATATATAAACTTTATCTAAGCAAAAGGATCCATAAATGTTTATAAATTTTTGACATCTGGTTTACTAGGATGTTATTAAGTATATGTAGAACATTACCTAAATATTCCTTACTACCAACATACTTTAAACTAGTTATAAAAGGGTGAAATTAACAGTTATTTTAATTGCAACAACAGTATATGGTAGTAATGTCTCAGATGTTATAAATTTTAGTAATAAAGTCTACTTATTCCTCACATAGGATGCATGCTACAGATAAAAACCTTCTGAAAAGCGACATTCACATTTTAAATGTATGTAGAAAACAATCACATTCACAAAGCACAATTACCATATACATTTGGGGTAAAAATTGTAAAATATTCAGGAATTACCCCACAATCTATGGTTTCTTCTTGTGTACCAACTTGAACAGTAACAGATGTAATTAAATTGTCTGTAGTGCACCAGGTTAATACTTCACAATTTTCAATCATGTGAACTCCTTCTGCTAGTAGAGAGTTGTTAACAGTTTGGGCAATCTCATAGTTGGAAAAAACTGAAGATTCCTGAGAAAGAAAATGTACAACATAAACAACAAAAATAAAGAATAAAAAAATTGTATCTAAGCACCTGGAAATGGGAGTGGTGAAAGTAACCAGGAAGTATGAGTCATTAGTGGAAAATTATGACATCAACCCCCTACATGAATACTATTCAATAATTTAAAGATGTCTGTTTTGGTTTAGAAATCTAAATACTTTTATATATGTTTCAGGTCAATTTAATATCAGCATATACTTTAATTTTAAGATGGTTGTATTATTTTGTAGTGCGACATTTCAGACTTACCTAATGAATGTTACAATTCTTGTGCTTTGGTTAAAAATGTATTTATTTTGAAATATTTTTCAGTATAGGTTTTGGAACTTCATATTTTACAAGAGTTTTCTGATGCTTGATGTATGATCTAATGTTCAAGAAAACTACAAGTACTCAAAACTCAGTTGATGTGGGAGGGAAGATTGGAGAAGAAGAATAAGGCCTGATAGTGGGCTTAAGCACTACTATGCCATTACAATGTTTATATTAAATTAGATGAATTAAGACAACAAAAAACGTTTAAGCAGACACTATGGGGTAGGAAAGAGCTTTTGGTAATATCTATGATAGTATTTTTTCTATCATTAACTCCAGACAGTAACCACACATACAGATTGCATTCACTGTAAAGATAATAGCTGCCAAGGGTAATACTTATGTTACAGCTTCGTAAAAAAGCTACACAAACTTAATCAGCGATACTCTGGTAGAACAAGCGGAAAAAGATGAAGATAACAAAATTAATAAAAAAACAGTAGAGCACTCACTATTTAATCTCATAACATGATCTATGCTAAAATTAAGATCTTCCGAGGTAATATATGATAGAAATTAAGTTGTTGATACACATCTGATGAGTCATTATACAACATTAAACTTATAGTGAACCATGTCTAATCATTTGACAGAGAGATAAAAGTTAGTCCATGCAAAAGAAATATTATTTAGCTATGGAAACAGATAATGATGAAGTATTTCATATTTTAGCTTGTCTAAAGGGGTTCTCTTTTTTTTTTTAGAAAAAAAAGATGAAAATATTTAACCTTTGAGCAAAATGTGACAGTTCTCAAGAGAATTTTCATGATACTGGAATTTAATTCATTTTGAATTAAATAATACAAGAAAATCCTGACATTCATATTCCAGAGACAGCTACAGCTTAAATGAAAAACAGTGAACAATGTCCAAAGCTCTATTGAGCCCCATAAGGTCAAGGAATGTACCACCAAGAAGCTGGAGATCTAGCAGCTGCTAAGTTATAGGAATTTAGATGCTCTCGGGTGTATTTTGGGCTATTTTATGTACTTTTAAGTGCCACCATAATAGAAATTTTTTAACCAGAAAATGGTTTCAGATATTTACACAAATTTCAATGCTCTTTCTAGCAGTATCAATTTTTTAAAAGTGCTATCCACCATATTTAAAAGATAACTACAGTGCAACCATTTAATATCACACAATGTGCTTCAAAAATGGATATTGGCAGGTTAAAAGCCAAAAAATTTTGTGCTGTTATATATGATTCACTAATTTCTCAACAACTGACACACTTTCTCCAATAAAGTAGCACTTTATGAAAAATTGTTGAAAATTCCATTTCATTGTATCTACTGCTAGATGTCATGGATAAATAGCAACACTGGATTGTACACTTGGCACCTGACCATTCCGTCTTTGACATTGACCATCCTATCCATAATTTTATCATCAGAAAACAATGTAATAAACATCAGTTAAGTTTCACCAAAGAAAAAATGAAATGTTCATTACTCACTCTTAATACTCTAGATATTTATATTTAATCATTTATGATTTCTTTTACACTTGTTTTGAACATGATTATTCAAATTCACTTTGTAATCAAAATAAGACCCAAAAAATTAGAAGAAATGTGCACAGAAAGAGGCATATAAATAATACCTTAAGTAACTTCATATGTGTCATCTTAAGTTTCCTACAGAAAATTGTTTTTAACATTACATTTGTGGTTTCTTATACTGTAATCAAAGCTGAATATAGCCTGTAACAATTAACAAAACAAAGAAAATTAAAAGAATCAAATGTTCATACTTCAGGAGTTGTTGAAGGGCTAATTAAAGTTATCTGGCTGCCTGAAACTCCAAGTTTCAACAGAGTAGCAATAGATGAGTAAACTTCCAAATATCTCCCATAGACTACAGCATTATCTGTTGAAAAAAAGCATTCTAAAATGAATCACATTGTTCCTCTCTCCAGTTTTACATTTTTTAAACCATATTTCTTTAATACAGTCATTCAGTAGCTTAGTGAAGATGTTTTTAACTCTCTATAATAATCATCAGTTATATAAGAAGTCTGGCAATGAATAGAAACGTTTTAGTGGTTAAGTAAAGTAATGTATAGAGATGTTAAATATTCTTAGAGAATTACAATTTCTTGGTAATATTTTTATTTCAGTAATCAAGAAGAAACAAGTAGGTTGTAATGGTGAAAGCAGCAAGTTAGGATGAATATAAAAAGTAACCTAAACAAAAACCTCACAAAGTGCTGATAGGAATCTCCTGTCCTGAGAGAAAGAAAACGCCGTGAGATAGCAAATTCTACTTTTATTTTGTTATGGGTTTGTTTACTGTTAATTTATTATTCCTTCTATCATTTAGTTCAACAATGAATTTTTAGTTATATTAAAGTGATAACTCACCTTCAAGCTAGAGCACATTGAACTTCAGTATGTATATATATTATGAAACTGACAAAAGCTTCCCCTAGTTGTGACATACAGATATTAATGTTGTAAAAGATTTATAAATTAGCTAGTCACATGAGATGTAACCTCATAGTGTAATTAACCACTAAATAAAAACCCTGCCTTGAGCCTAAATGAGTTAGTTTACACGATATAGTTAAAACATATTATTGTTGAATTGTTACTTGATATTGTTATTGATCTTGAAGTTGTTTAAATTTGGAATATTGTTTTTTTTCTTTCTTGGAATGTGGTTTTTTTTCTTCTGGTTCTTTTTCCTGATTCATCTGTTTATTGAAATAATCATTAACATTGATATTTATGTTGTATTGTTCATTAATGTTAGTATCAAGTTCTGGCCAGCCATGTATTCATTAATTGTGTTTTTGATAAGTGTTACAATCCCATATTACCTTATTATATAATAGTTAATACATAAAAACAAAGATTGACAATTCTGAAAATTTTGTAGTTTTAGAAATATATTATAAAAAAAACAAAAAATAAACACAAATATCAAATATTAGCTTATATACAATAATTTTCAAAAGATACAATAAAAAAAATCACTCTTCTTGGTAGATCCACGTAGGAACTGTCTCTCCAATTCAATCACAATCATTTCAAACCTGTAGTATGTTGAAATTCAGCTTTAGGTTGTAAATTTAAAGTTCCAATTCACAACTAGATGTATGGTTACAAAATTTTTCACTGTTCAAATGTCCACTGCACCAAAACTTATTGATATTTTCGAAATGGTTTTCAAAAGTTCTTAAAAGCAACAAGGCTCACAAAAGTTACAAAAAGTTAAGACTAATTCATAGACTTACAAACTCTTTAGAGTCAAAAGAAATAAGCTAAATGTTAGCTTATAGCAAAAACCTACGATTAATATCTAGATTCACAAACTCTTTCGAGTTGATACAGAAATATCTGTCTCAAATAGCCACTCAAACTCAACTAAGCCTAAACACTAAAACTTTTAAAAAAACGTTTTTTAATGGAAACCTGAGACCTTTTTCATATTTGCCAAATAACCATTATACAGCACGTGCATAATAATATATCACGTGATAAAACTGTTAGTTAGGTGCACATCATTAATCAGGCAATATGCCCACAATGCCTCACAACAAAGCTTCACTAAAATATTACCAAAATACGAAAATATTACAAAAATACATAATCATATCATAAGTGATAAACTTTATATTTAAACTGTTTGAAAGTATTATTTTGGATTTCTATGGTTGTCAAAGATTAATAAATTTGTTTTCTTTTTCAATCGTTTGTAGCAGCTGTTTGTTTTAGTCTGTTACTGCTTCCTAACTGAACTACTTACTTAAAACAAATTTTAATTCCAGATTACTTGGTTGGCAACTACATTAGATATAGGTTTTATGGCACTTAAAATATTAGATAATGAACCAATCTATAATTACTTTACATTAAATCCACTCATTAGTGACATCAGGGGCAGTAGGGTACTAGTATAGATGTATCTTTCAAGAAGACAGAGACAATTATGCGCTTCAAAAAGCTAGCAGGAAAGGAATCTGTTAGATATACACAACTGTTTCTGCTTAAGTTTAATGTGATTTTAATGATTTAGATAGTTTATATAGTGCAGTTTTCATACTTAGTTATTTTTAGAAGGGATATTACTGCATCAGAATATCTAGTATTGCATGGAATGTTCTAGACTTCTGTCAGGATATAAATATGTGTCAAAAAGTCATTATTTAGTTAGTTCTAGTTATAAACTACATGCTCAGGAGTTTAGCAATAACGAGTATATAGTGGCAATTTCTAAAAAGAAATTATCAGAGACTGTATTGTAATAACAAAGTAGAAAAGAATAATTTGTCTTGCCAATTGTGTTCTAAAGTAACTGAACCAGCCTGTGTGGACTTTATGAAAAAGAGACAATTATTTAAAGCTCTGAACACGACTGTGGTAACCAACAGTGTCACAAACATTTATATATATGCTTGATTTGTTTTAATATATATTATTTTTAAAACAAGCACACTGTGTTGCTGTTTGTTTAAAGTTGAAATTTATCACCAACAAGTCACAGATACCTACTGTAAAAAATCTGGCCTTACAAAACCTGACAGAGTTGCTTGTGACACAGAGGTAAGACTAAGATAATGAAATGTTCAGGAGGGATAGCATATTAGATAAAATGTAAGAACCTATAGGCATGGTACACATACTAACATGCAGGGCAAATATAACAGTAATGTCAAGTGTTCTGAATAAATGGTTACTTGTTAATATGTACATTGGTTTATGATACTGAGTAGCTGTAGTAACCCTATATGCTTCACCCTGGTGGCTCAGCAGTAAGTTTGAGGGCTTATAATGCTAAAATCCAGGGTTTGATTTCCTATTGTGGATACAACACAGATAGCTATTATGTAACTTTGCACTTAACAACAAGTCAAAAGAAATCAAAAGAATGAACTTCCAATAATTCCTTATGCATGTGTGGTATTTCAAGGTTCAAAACAGTTAAAGCACATAGTCACCTTACCACTGCAACAACCCTTGCTGGAGGAACAAGTGCAGTGATTTGTCATCAGTTGAATGAAGAGAGCAATTAGACACAGTGTGAAGATGATCAAGAACAGACATTGTTACTGATAAACAAAAAAAGGAGAGTTGGGACAATAGCTGATTGTCCTGACTTAGAGTTAAAATGAGATCTGTCTGAAAATCCAAAATTAATTTCGTACTCCACATTTTCTAGCTAACCAATCACGAAATGGAACACCTAGATATACTTAAGAAATGATCTTGACTGGACTCACTATGTTCTAAGTTGTAAAAAAATAAAAACAATAACAGTTTACTATGTTGAATAGATACTACATGAAAATAGGTATTAACTGTAAATTATATGTTAAAACAGTGATACCAATTTAGTCTTTACTTATATATATTAAATCTTAATTCTGTGTTAAAATATAATTTTCACAAACTCTATTTCCTAAACTTTAATAGACTAAAGCACACTGGAATCATATTAAAAAGTCTCACTGGTGGTTTTCAAAAAAACTGTTTCAATCCAGTTCAGGGCAGTAGCAATATCAAATTCATCATTAATTAGAAACAAATTGACTGATTTTGGGGTAACTGAATCCAATCCTGTTCCTCTCAGGAAAGAATGTATATTGCTTGATGATGAAAGCTGCCACTGGTTTCCACAACAAAGGATAAGTATATCATAAGGAATTTCAGCTTTAGAATCCACTTCAATAACTTTCAATTCTCTGAAATATTTCAGCATGCATTTAATGTCATATTTATTTATTTTGAATACTCAAAGTGTTCTCACTTTTATATTATTTATGAGATTAAGTATGAAAACCTTTATTAAGATAGGTTTAACATTCTTATTAGAAAAAAAAGAACACTTAAATAACTATAATTACCCTTAAATAAGAAAGTTAAAAAAATTCAAACATAGTTTAATTTTTGCTGCTAAAGGCTTATAAAACCTTGATTAAAATGTTGAATGCAAATGTTTAGATGATGCAAAATTAATGAACACTGGAAATATTATGATATTTTTCTTAAAATTAATTATTAGTATGACAGAATGTATTTCACACCTAATTATTCAAAAAATGTAATTGTTATCATATATTTTATGCTAATCTTTTCTTATCAATAACATTAGGTTAAAATATTTAAGTTCTCAATTATGTCTATACAAAAATTATTCATCCTTTTTATAAACATGTTACATAAATTTAATAAAAAATATATTGCAAACTATATTTTAATGCTATAGTTACCATGACTAAAACGTTCACATTATTTGCCTATGCATTAAAGTTTCCAAATATAATGTTATATGTTATCATGTGTGTTCGTGTTTGATGTCCTTGTATGGATGTTACATGTTAAGCTAACTTTCAAGAAACAGTGAGAAAAAAATTTAATAAATACGAAACTTTAAAGGCATACTGAAATAAAACTCATAGTCTTTTCAAGAAAATAAGTGCTTAATTAAGATAAATTCAAAACTTACTTGTCAATGGAAGTCATAGTCCCATAAACTTGGTTAACCCATGTACTCATACAAAGTTGATGAAGTCTTTGTGGACAATAACAGTGGCTAAACAATGTGGAAAACGTATAGCTATTTTATATCACATACAAAAATTACATACATTGTTTTCATTATAAGAATTAACTTCATTTTCTGTATAACTAGAGTAAAGAGGGATAATGAGTAAGAGCAATACTAAAAATACTTTTGTTACTGATGAATCCTGTGATGTATGCCAACAATATGTGATGTCACACATATTTATTTGTTAACTTTTTTATTATGTAACTGAAATGTTGTTTTGATATCAGACTTCTTTTTTACCCCAGTGTCTGCCTTTTTGCATATAGCCTTTCTTAAATAAAAATTTAAAATTTCAATGACAAAAGTGTTAATTAATTACCCATGTCACCATTTATGTATTATTTTGATAAAACTAATCCACAAACTGATAAGTGTAAAATCCTGTTCATCAGGTAGAGCAATAAACATTATTTTTTTTTTTGTAAATTAAAATTGCCATTTTGCATATTTCAAGCTCACTGTGTTGATTTAAAACCTATGTCATAAAAAGTATTACTGTACTAAAAAAACCACTAACATTGAGGTTACTCAACTGATGGCCTAAAGCAGAATGGTAACAGTGGCTTTTAGAGGTTTGCCTACTACTTCTAATTAAGACTACTCTTACAATAATGGATGTAGCATGTATGTCAGTATCTATGTATGTAACCAAAACTCCTGCACCATCTGGCACCACAAACAAAAATCCATAAAACTTCACACTTAGGTATTCAAGACACAGACAATTAGAAAAATAACTGTGGTATGTGCAATAATCATTTCTTTATAATAGAACACAATTTTAAATAAAAATACTCTCCTCACAATACAAACATGACTTTGACTAGGACTGTACATTAGGGTTTGATTATATCTTTATCGATGTAATTTTTAAATGTAGCACTGAGAAATTTGAGTTCTTAAAAAAAACTATTATTTTTCAAAATCTAGTACCCCTTTTAATATATAAATTAAAGTTTTAATACTACAATTATTAATTACTAGCAAAAACTGCCACCCATAGGGTGGCATTTCTGCTAGTTATTATTAACTGTAATTGTTAGCAATTTTTCTGGTAGAAGTTATTACATAACTATATTACTTATTTCTGTCAGTCAGTAACCATGAATGTTATTTAATAATATATGTATAACTAATATTTCACTGAGATTATACATACTTTTGAAAATAAGTGAATTAACTATAATAATAAAATATATTAACTCTGTGTATGGGTGCCCATGCCATGACCTTTTACAGAGTGCCATTCAATATGGTATTATGTATTTGATGTTAAAGTTATCAACTATTCATCTTACACAACACTACTGATTTAGTGGTAGAGGAAGAGTAAATTCCAGATATAATATAATACATATAGAAACACTGAAAAAAAAACTGTAGATATGCTTTCCAGAGGTTTTACAGGTTATTAAAATACAATATACTAACTGTTTGATGGACTAAAGTATTTTTATTCTTAATACAAACATCACCTTGCACTTTGACCTGTCAGAGTGTGAGTCAGATTGATGCTAGCAATTCACAGACATATCTTGGGTACAAATACTTCTGTACATTTAATTATTTGTGTACAACAGACTTGTACATTTAGAAATTATAGACAATATTTCTTCATTAATACAGGGGTCAATCCACTGGATTGACCTCATGCACATATGGTTAAGCAACTCACTATCAGTTATAGTCTATATGGCTGATCTAAAATACAAAATGCACAGAAGCGAATGTCATTACATGAGTGGTCAGCTACTTACACTAGTAATGTAGTACTGACTAATATAAACGTAAAAACTAATGCCGCTTATACATGTTACACCATTTTTTTCTTATCTACCTATATTCAGTACAAAATGTTCTAAGCAATAATTACATACAGCTTCCCTTATAAAGTACATACATGTTTGAATATTTCTGCAAATTAAATTTCTTCTAGCAAAGAAAAAATATTTTAATTTATTAAAATTCTAGTTACAACTATTTGAATTATACCTAAAGTTATATAATTTCCTGCATATTTACTGGTAATAATGAGCTGTTGATAATTATCAGGAATGATCAAGGAAAATTACTGCTCTCCATGATAATTACTGTTACTCTTTTGTTTGAGATATTTGCTTACACTTTTTCCCAACAGTAAAAGTAACTCTGTTTTTATACATTCTGGTTCTACATTGTCATCTGTGGTACTTATATTATATAATCGTTTTTACTTAAAACATTTGTAAGTCAATTTGTTTACTCTAAATGCTAATATTTATCTATTTACATAACCCACTAAGGCATCTATAAACAGATGGTATCATTGTCACATACTTGAAAAAACAATCACACGTTTTTAAACCTTAGAATGAATAATAAATTATTTAATTTTTTAAACAAATATTTTAACTATGGAGTGTTTAATACTTTTTTTACAAATTCCAAACCCACAAGTTCTAAAAGTCTAGGTTGTTACAGGACTGTAGTGAAACAAAAATATCATAAGGATAATTAACTTTCTTGTTGTAATGTTTTTGCACAGAACCCTTACCTTTGTGGGTGAAAAGTCTCACGCAATTCATCTGGGATTAATTCCCCAGGCAATCCATGTGGAGCTACCAGTGTCAGGTAATTAAACTGCAGATCTGAGCTGGAAATATAAGAATTTCTTTACAACTAAATAGTAAATTTTATACAAGTAGTTGGATAATAAGTTCTCTAAAATTATATTAGCCAATCTTCTTAACTTAGTCAAAATACAACATACTATTCCACATTACTTAGCATTTAAATATAGTATGAGTTCTTATAAACTATCATGGAGAAAATTTAACTGGATTATGAAATAGAAACTTAGAAAGTTTGAAAAGATGTGCAAAAAATTAAAATTTAAGATCACTCTCTCACCTCATTACCAAGGCTTCTAGAAATGCAAGACCAACTTCACTAGCTCCTACAACTACAATTCTAATGTTTAACACAATCTAAAAGAAAAAATAGCTATAATTCATATCATAATGATTAATCTCAAAAACAAAATATTTAAGGGGAAATGATAAATTTAAGTATCCACTTTAACATGCTTTAATAATAGATTTCAACAGATAATCTACATATGTTTCAACTATTACAAAAACATCTTTTCTAGTTCATATACAAGTTCCTTTGAAGAGTGTACAAATAAGTAGAATAAATGTAAGAGCCACATATAGAACACTTGTGGGTAGATGTTACATCTAATATGGTTATTACTATATGATTATCTATATACTACTTATTTACTTACGTTATATATTTCATTAAAACCCCATTACACATACATAGCTGTATGTATTATGTGACTCGGAAATTCATATCTAATATTTTTATCATCAATTAAAGTTTAGAATAATAAGCATTATGCAAACTTTTCTGAAAAATTAACATATGACACAAAATACATTCATATGTGACAATCTAAAAAAAATAATTTTATTCTACAAGTGTTTCAATAAAAATAATGTAACAAAGTACTCGTATAAAACCAGTTATTGGTTTGTACATGCATTAATTATTTTTGTAGTAGACCGTCTGTGTCTGTATTTTTTACTGGTAGTTCATTTCATTCTCATTTGTATTGAAGTATTTTCCTCTACATTTTCTATTCATAATTTGACAACATTTGTTTAACAGTAGCATTGACTGTACCATGTCTGTGCTAATGTCCAGTTGCCACACTGTATTTCCAAAGTATGAAGTGTCAAAATTTGATAGGTAAAGCTGGAAAAAACACACAACTACTAACTATTATTACTAGCTATTAGAGGAAAATGTTCTAACGATAATGATACCCATATCATTCTTGTTAACAAAAGATTCAACAGAAAAATGGATTTCAAAGGTAAAATTCCAAGCTCAATATCTCATTTTATTCAAGTAAAACATTTATTTAGTCCCTACAAGTGAAGTTTTATTTTAATACTGACTGGTGTTAAAGATAAACTGAGAAATGTGATTGATGCACATTGAAAAATCACACTTAAATATAAATATTTCTTTCATGCAAAATTATCTATTCACAAACGGTTTTCTAAGTAATATCATTGCACTCTATCAAGCTCGTTTTTGTATGCATGGGATAAAACAACACAATGTGATATAGTGTGATATGCAGATATCACACAACCTACTCTCTTATACTTGGTATTTATGAATAATAACAAATATTGTAATTTTCTTAGAATTTAGTAAATCCTGTTTAAGACATAACATAACCATAGAAAACACCAAAATTTTAAGTAGATAAACAAAGACAAACAAAAAAAAATCAAAAAAGCCGTACTTATACAAGAACTCAAACCAAAATTGAACCAACATAAAGGAACACTTTTATACCTGTATTAATCACCTAACATCTAACTGCTATGCCCCTACAATCTCGAATCTGTTCACACTCTCGTTTCTAACATAACCATAAAAAACACCAAAATTTTAAGTAGAGAAACAAAGACAAACATAAAAAAAATTAAAAAAAAACTACTTATACAAGAACTCAAACCAAAATTGAACCAACATAAAGGAACACTTTTATACCTATATTAATCACCTAACGTCTAACTGCTATGCCCCCTACAATCTTGATTCTGTTCACACTCTCGTTTCTAAGACGTGCCCAGTAATGGCCAGTTTCAAACTGTCTTAGTTAACATGAAGATGACCTAAGAAGGTCGAAA